TGGATTGGAATTGTCTTGAATCTGGAGATTGCTTTGGGCTTGGAAAATTGACTCGTCAGACACAGAAAATCAAATCTTGACTCCTATCTCTAATCGTACACAAACATTAACACAGGAAGAATTAAAGACTTAAATGTAAGATTTGAAAATATAAAAGTCTTAGAAGAAAACCTAAGGAAAACTCTATGGACATTGGCCTATGGAAAGAATTTATGATGAAGACCCCAAAACAAAATGCAAGAAAACACAAAAGTACACAAATAGGAATTCATTAAACCTAAAAGATTCTGCATAGTAAAAAAGATAATCAAGAGAGTAAACAGACAACCTACAGAATGGGAGACAGTAATTGAAAATTTTACCTCTGACAAAGGGCTAATATCCAGGGAAAAACGTTCAAAAATGGGCATAGGACATGTACCAATATTTCTCAAAATAAGATATACAAGCAGCCAACAAATATTTGAAGAAATATTCATCACAAATCATTAAAGAGATGAAAATAAAACCCCAATGAGATGTTATCTTACACCAGTCAGAATGGTTGTTATTGAAGTCAGAAGAAAGCAGGGCTCCACGGCTCAGCCTGTCATCCCGCGCTCTGGGAGGCCGAGGTGAGCGGATTGCCCGAGCCCGTGGGTTCGAGACCCGCCTGGGCAACTTGGCGAGACCTCGTCTCTACAACAAATCAAAAAAATTAGCCGGGCGTGGTAGCACTCGCCTGTAGTTCCAGCTCCTTGGAAAGTCAAGGCGGAAGGATCGCCGGAGCCCAGCAGGGCGAGGCTGCGGTGGCCGGGAGCGGCCACTGCACTCCAGTCTGGGCGACAGAGTGAGACTCCGACTCAAAAATAAATAAATAAAATAAGAAATAAAGTCAGAAAAAAAACAAATGCTGGTATGGATGCAGACAAAAAAATACATCCATATACTGTTGGTGGGAATGTAAATTAGTACAAGTATGGAAAACTGTATGGAGATTTATTAAAGCACTAAAAATTGAACTACCATTTGATCTCCAATACCACTACTGGTTGGTTATCCATCCAACGGAAAAGACAACTGCATGTATATTGCATTACTATTCACCATAGCAAAAACATGGAATTAACCTCAGGGTTTATCAATGGATGATTGGATATAGAAAATATGGTACATATATACCATGGAATACTACACAGCCATAAAAAAACAATGAAGTCTAGTTCTTTGGAGTAACATAGTTGGAACTGGATGCCATTATCCGAAGTGAATTAATTCAGAATCAGAAAACCAAATACCATATGTTCTCACTTATAAAAGGGAGCTAATCAATATGAACATAAAGATGGAACACACACAAACACACACACACACACATAGGACTCCAAAAAAGGTGGAAGTTAGGAGAGGTATGAGGGCTGAAAAATTACCTGTAGGTACAGCGTCCACTATCTGAGTGAAGATACATTAGAAGCCAACCTCGCCATCACACAAAATGTACATGTAACAAACGTGTACATGTATCCCCTGAATCTAAAGTAAAATACAATTTAACAAGTAAATAAAAACAAAAATAAAATAAAATGCACAGATTGTCTTTAAAAATAATCCCAACTTATTTTACATTAATTAAAATGTCCACTTATTGAGTAAATTCATGACATTGGTTTTCACATTTAACTCCCCAATAAATATATGTATTTTGCAAATAAAGATATTTAGACACTGGGTAATTAATAACCGACCCGAGCATAATTAGTAAGTGACAGCTGGAATTCAAGCCAGATCTCTCTGACCACAAAGCCTGATGATGCCATTATGCTTCTGCATTTAAGCTTCTTCATTGAACTTGTATTAATTCCTCTCCTCAGCCAGCTTGAACTATTTGGATTCTGCAGGGTGGATTCCTTCAGCCATTGTCTCTGCATGGCATGTCTTTCATTTCCTTGTTTCAGTACTTCACACCATGACTCACACTTGTTAGAAGGTCATTAAAAGATTTTAGAAAAAAAACAAATGACATCCCTTCTGTTCTTCACTTCATTTAGCAAATATACACGTGCACAAACAACACATATTACTCAAGAGTGAGGGGTAGTACCATCTTTAAAATGTCATGCATACTTTTAAAATTCATGTTGAGAAACAAAATCCAAAAAGGTTTTATTTCTTAGAAACACTTGCATTCTGGTGTTTGTTTTGGTGACATTTTAGATTTTCAATATATATGCTTTTAAGAATACAGCGACTTTATATATTTTGAATAATACAGCAACTTTTTTAAGAAAATAAGGATAGCACTGTTGTTCTAACTATACAACTATTTTTATTATTTCTTAATTTAAAAAATAATAATAACGATTCCTATAAAATACAAATCGGTAAAAGGAAATGCTTGTGTTATAATCCACCAACCAAAAATAAAACTGCTAAGATTTGTATTACTGTCAAAATCTTTGTCATATACACCATATGTTTACTTAGGGGAGACTGAGACGGAAGGCTTGCCTGAACCCAGGTGATCAAGGCTGTGGTGAGCCATAATCGTGCCACTGCACTGCAGTCTGGGAGACAGAGGAGACCCTGACTCAAAAAAAAAAAAAAGAGGGGGAAGGAAGGAGGGAGGAAGGGAGGGAGAAAACAAAACTTTAAAAATTATTGCATAAAACTATCTTTAATTTAGAACATTTAATAAGCATAATTTCTATATATAAAACTGTAACATTATGACCATTTGTAACAAATGCACAATATTTTCATGTTTTGGACATGCAATTTTTATTTAGTATGATAAATAATTATGAATATGATGCAGATGAATTTTAACAACAGTGCACTTTCTGCTTATTTTTTCCTCTATGTGTGTGCACATTTAAATGTGTTAGAATGTTGAGAATTAGCTTTTAACATTTTTGAGATATGAGGCTTTGAAAATTTTCCCTATATTTAGTTATTGTTTTATTTTAAAATGTTAGTATAGTTACTAGAAAATGGACTATTTTATATTGTTCTAATCCACTGTTGTAGGGAAGATTAAAATTATCTTTAAATAGATGAATGCATTTGGCTATGTGTATGGATTTAAAGTCTTAAGAAGAAGTTATTCTGCATCTGCAGCTCCAGAATGTACTTTTTCTGGTCACAATGCAAGCAACGGGAGAGTTTCCTGTGCCGTGATCTCATATACCATGTGTTGTTGTGATCACCCACCTTTCATTTCTGTATGTTCAGTAGTTTAGTTAAACTTGTATTTCCATCATAAATAAATATGAGAAGATTATTTACCTCAACACACAGTTAAAAACTGTAGATCTCAGTAAAGATAAACTTTAAAAATTATTTCATTGCAAAATAAATTTATTAATTCTACCAGAAGCAGTTTTTAAGCATTAACTCATTCTTTTAAAATAATTTTACTCAGATCCTGGGATAACATACATAATTCAACTGTACAATATTAAGAAGTTATAAGAAGGAGTATTTGAAAGGTTATGATGACATTATTTGAATAAGATGAACATAATTTATTAGTATTTTCATTTTAAATAATGCTGCTTCTTCAATATTAGATTTAATATTAGTAATGCTTTGTTTCATTTTGTTATTGTATTTGCCCATGTTTTAAAAAAATCTAGAAATAATTTCTACAGGCCATTCAAGATTTTCATAACATATTTATTTTTACAAATGATTTTATTATTTTATTTTATTTATTTCAATACCTTTGGGATACACAAATAGTTTTTAGTCTGGGCATTAAGGGTACCTGGCTCCCCCATCTGTGCACAGTGGACTGAATGAGTGATTTTTTTTTTGTCCTTTCTCTTTTTTCCCCCTCTCCCCATTCGGTGTCTCCAGGATTTAAAAGTTTGTTTAAAAAGATGTTTGGTGATCACTTTTTTTCATATACATTTCCTGACTATCCTGATTTCACCTGAAGGCATGTGTTTTAGAGATATCCTTAGTTGATTCCTCACCAGAGCAAAAATCTATTTTGAAATGATTATAATGATGTGAGAATGACATAATTTCTGTACATAACCTTGCTCATATAATTTACATCTGTTCGATTCTTTAATTCTTACATTTTAAGTGAGAAATATGTTCGATTCTTTAATTCTTACATTTTAAGTGAGAAATATCCTGCCAGTAAGTCTGTTTATGTAAATGAGACATTTGATGTTTCTCCAACTGTGTGCACTTGTCCATTAAATTGCCTGTTATTTCATGCTTGTCAGTTGGACAAAAGGGAAATTGAAAAGAAAAAATAAAATGTTAATAACATAATTTATAAGTGAAAATATTCTGCAATTAGTCTGACATAAGTTTGTACCATACAGAGTTAGCATTGTTTAGTTTTCTCTATGAAACCAATGGAAGATGGTAATTGGTTCTAATTTGCAAAAACATAGCCGAATAAAGATTTTGTGTAGTTTAAGGTCATTTATCTAAATGTGATATTCACTTTTATTTGTCTTTTAAAGTTTGTTGCCATGGTATATTACTGAGGAAATGGCTTTTTTGAGGATTTGAATTCTTATAAAATGTCATTCTTTAAGTTATCGTAAAGTAAATGCTATTTTTTATTTGGCGTCTTGACTGAAAATATATATACATACTTTATTTGTTAATGTTTAAATATTCCATTTCTCTGTTTTCTTGAGTGTTTAAAAAGCTATATAATATAACTTGAAGGTACAAAACTTAAATAAGTTATTCTCTACATTTCTGATAGATAATTATTTAACATTGTATGGAAACACAGGCTTTTGGTTTCTCATAATATTATTAAATAGAAATCATTTTTCAAAATGTTTACATGTGAAATTAGGGATAATCTTGATCCAATGTTGACAAGTATATGTTAGTTTCATATCTGGCATTTGATAGGCAATAATTTCACTGTGTCAAGATAAAATATCTCTATATATTAACTAAAAATAAACTCTCATAATATTTGGGGGACCTTGTGTTACTTTATTTTTGTTCATCTCATTTATATTAATTATTTATCATTGCAGATTAAAAAAATCAACAGGAACTTTCCTGTAAACCAGCAGGTAAGACAAAAAAGTATATGAAAGGCTGAATAATATTTATATATATATTTAATTGTATCTATTATTGAAGATAAGGCTGATGCTTTCTGATTTTTATGCAGAAATGGTTGGCACTATCACTTGCTATCTTCAGAAAAAAACAAATTTTAGAAATTTCTTTCATACTATGAAATATATTTGTTTGCTTAATTGTATTAAAAGTGGTTTTTAAAAACGTGTATCTAAGTAAACTAAATAAAAAAATATTGTTTGATAAAATAATGGTATTTATTTAAATATAGCCTGGAAGAAATTAAAGTACTGTTTATATAAGAGAGTTTTAGTATATGCTAAATTTGGGAGACTTTTAACTGATCTCACATTTCAAGGAATTTTCACATTTTGCTAACAGTATTTCAAATGAGTATAAATGAATGCTTAGAATGAAAATAATTTGGATTGATCAAAGTTTCATAAACTTCTTACTTTTGTTATCAACTTTGATTGTAACCACTGATCACATTCTATCTAAACTAACTAGGTGTAAGTGATTTGTAAATTGCAAATTAATTTCAATGGCACAAACTTTAAAATATTTTTCCACTTATAAAAAGTAAGTTATTATGTAAACTTTATTTATTTTATCCGTAACATTTATATAAAAGCAACTATCTTGTAAATTTATTTTTGAGAATTGAATGATAACACATGCAAAGTTCTCAATATATGCTTTTATCATGTTTCTAAACATTTAAACATAATCTTTGGAATATAGAATCCATGTTTTGTAGAAGTTATATTATTAAAGATGCTGCTACCCCAGACCGGCCGGAAAAGCCATGTGTAACCAAAGCACTTGAGAGAACAGCTTTGTAGAATTCATTGTGTCCACAATGTTCTAAACTACATCTTTTCAGCTATCAGCATCCACCCTCTTCTACCTTGAGGACCTTAGACCTGATCCATTTTGATATTTTAGATAGATTTGAGTTTGGAAAAATATACATGTCTTGCTCCATTCCACAGCAAGCTGTAGATACGTCTGCGACCCTTACCTGCAGTATTGAAACTAGGACTGTCGCCGATGGCCCCTGAGTCACCAGATCTGTGATGACACCCGGGAAACCCTTTGTAGTGCCTATCCCTTCGCATGTGATAGTAATATGCTTGGTGCACCGGTGACATCTTGAGAAATATATTTTCATGAGTTTTAGGGTTCCAGTAGAGGGGAAATGCATGAAGGAGAAAGTATCAGCCACAGGGGAAGGCTGCAATGCCCATCAGCAGACAAAGCTGTTTTGTGGTCAGAGCTGTAAAAATGGAAATCTACGGTTTTGCGAATTCTCCTCAAAAATGAAAAAATGAGGAATGCTTCTTTGATTTAAGAATGACAGTAAGATCTATGTTATCAACTTCTTTCCCCTTTCTAACTTCAACGTGTGAGATGTCAATATTTGGTATAATTTGTATTACTGAGTGCTTCATAGTCCTCAGACCCTGCAGCTATTCCACACTTACAGTGACAACTGCATTTAACACTTCCTGTATACTCAGCTCCCTGATGGGTTGCTCTCCTTGCCTCTTTTGCTTTTATCCAAGTTTAAAATAATCTTGAGTGAAGTAAATGAGAATCTGAATGAAAATCGTGGAATAGGATAAATAATAATAAAAATCACATATAGGATAAATAATAACACAAACTTTGAAATTCTAAGACTGTGCATGTAATATTCTAAGAAACATACATTCGTATATAACAGTATAGATGTGCACTCCTGTTCATGATTTTTATTTGTTATCACTTTAATATTTTAAATTATATAATTATTTAAAATCTAAAATTATACTTGAAATAATTTCAGATCTTATTTTAATTTTCTTGGCTACAATTTTGAAAACCATAGGGCAACCCCCTTGGGTCTCCTCCCACTGTGGGAGCTTTTCAGTCCTCTTAATAAATCTTGCTTTCTTTCTTTTTTTAAACTTTTAATTTTTTTTAATTTTGAAATTGTGGGGTACAATTCAGGGTTGGGTGCACGATATTCATCTTGCAGGTACCCTTGTTGGTGAGGTGTGCCCATGCCTCCGCAGATTTCAGCTGCTGTCATTCCCACCTCCCCGCGCCCCTCTCCCCGGGCCGTTTCCCACTTGTGTCAATCCTTTCCTTATGGTATTATGATGGCTGTTCATGGTCCACTTAGGAGTGAGAGCATGTGATACTCAGTTTTCTGTTTCTGTGAAAGATCACTCAGTATTATAGACTCTAAGTCGATCCAGGTTGCTGCAAAATTTGTGATTTTGTTCTTTATGGCTGCATAATATTCCATCGTGTGTATGGACCACGTTTTTAAAATCCAGTCCTCTTTTGATGGGCAGCATCGTTGGTTCCATGTTCTTGCTATTGTGAGCAAGGCTTTGATAAACATATGTGTGCAGGTATCTATTTTATAGAGTGATTTGAGTTCTTCTGGGCACATTCCCAGTAGGGGGATTGCGGGGTCATCTGGAAGGTTCATCTTTAGAACTTTTAGGAATCGCCGCACTGATTTCCACAGAGGCTGTACTAGTTTTCACTCCCACCAACAGTGTAGAAGTGTTTCCTTTTTGCCACATTTTCTTCAGCATCTGTTTCCTTCCCTAAAAACAAAAACAAAAACAAAACAAAACAAAACCATAATGAATTCTTCCTAGCATTTTAAAAACTTGAAAATAAAACTCGATGATGATTTTTTTCCTTCATGTAGATGAAGAATTTCAAGAAATAGGACTAGCTTATCATTCAACATATATATGTGCATGTTTCTAAATGTGTGGTGCACAGGTGACATTTTTAGAACCACAGGTTTATGATTTTATAGGATATAAAATATATATGTGTGTATATATGTATATGCTTATATATACATATACACACTTATGTATATACACACCTAAGTATTTATACACACATATGTGTGTGTATGTGTATGCAAAATAGGAAAAACTTACCTGTAAAGTATGATAACTATGCGTTAGGAGACTAGACTAGGTTACATTCCCTACTTAGAAAATTGAAGTCACTTTTTTTTTTCTTTTTTTTGAGTTGGAGTCTCACTCTGTCGCCCAGACTGGAGTGCAGCGGCTGCTCCCGGCCACCGCAGCCTCGACCTGCTGGGCTCCGGCGATCCTTTCGCCTCAGCCTTCTGAGTAGCCGGAATTACAGGCATGTGCTACCACGCCCAGCTGATTTTTGATTTATTGTAGAGATGAGGTCTCGCCAAGTTGCCCAGGCGGGTCTCGAACCCGCGGGCTCAGGCAATCCACTCACCTCAGCCTCCCAAAGTCACGGGATTACAGGCTGAGCCACCGAGCCCGGCTTTACCTTGATTTTTATGTGGAGTTCTGAAACTTGAATTAGATGTAAATGTGCATATACATGAATAAATATACATATACATATATTATTTATTCATATATATGCATTTATGAGGGGGACCCAAAAAAGCAAAATTTATTTTTATTTTAAAGATGTGGGGTACAATTCAGGGTTACGTATACAAATAGTCATTTTACAGTTAAAGTTTGAGCCTCACTTTGGTCAAACTTTGGTCAAAAGTTTGAACATCACCTGGTTTGAGGTCAGGTACTCTTACTGATGAAGTGTGCCCCTTCTCTGGTAGTTTCCTACTTCCATCATGTATATGTGCCACATTTTTGTATCCAGTCCACTTTTGATGGCAGCTTGGTTGGTTCCATGTTTTTGCTATTGTGAATAACGCTGCAATAAACATGCGTGTGCAGAGTATCTTTTTCATAGAGTGATTTGAATTCTTCTAGGGTATATTCTCCCCCCCATATTTATTTATTTTAAATTGTGCATTTATTTTTACATGTTTAAACTTCAGTCACCCACAAAGTACTCTCTATTTTTGAACTCATCCATTCAAGGATAAGGGCTGACCCCTTGTAGTGCACAGGTTTTCCCACCTTGCTAAGTGTTCTAGGAAACCATCAGCATCAATGTGCCAGCTAGCATTGTTGTGAGAGGCTGACTTCAGCTTCAGTGACTTTTTGTGGGGACGCTTTTTCAACGTATTTGCCCATTTTATGATGGGTAATTTCCACAAACAACCTGACCACAGTGCTCTGAGTGTGCAGTTTTTGACCAAAACATCATCACCCCCATGTCCCACCCTCCCTATTCACCCAATCTTGGCCCAGTTCCTTTTTTTTGTTTGTTTTCTCAGTTAAAAAAAGGCTTCAAAAGGAAATGTTTTGCCGATGTGGAAGAGGTGAAACAAAACACAACAGAAGCACTAATAGGCATCAAAATTGAAGATATATGAATACACACACACACACACACACACATATATTTACTTATACATAAGCATTTGATGACGGAACTCATGCACTCATGCATATGTTAAAATACTTATGTTATGAAGAGATATACATTGAGAAGTCCCTTTATATTCTTAATGTTCCAGATACAAAAAACAATCTCCCAGGGTACACTGGATCAGAACTACTCTGTTTCCTGTAAGATTTAGTTTTGAATATGATCCCAGGTGGTACAACTCTCCGAGCCTGTGGCATTGAAATAAAAATAAAACATTAAAAGGACTGGAAAAGGTCACCGCTGTCCTGCAGAGACTAGGGATATGCATTGGTTCCACAAGTATGCCCCCAAAACCAAGGTGCATGAAGAAAAGGTTTGAGTCCAAAATTATAAACCATATGAGGAAATAAACCATCATAAGAGAAAGCATAATCTAGGGATTAAAGAACAATCCAAAATATTTTTAACTTTCGTTTATGAAAAATAAAGTTATCAACATTATAAGATAAGAACAGGACATAGTCTTAAAATTTGGGGTTGCAAAAGAACTAAATAGAACTTTAAAAATAATAAAAAAATATATTTAAATTAAAATCAGTTGTCTCCTTTTGAAATTTCACTAGTGTATCTTCTACTTCACTTTTTGTTGAGTTTTTTTTTTTTTTAATTTTCTCTTTGTATCTGGGATGTATTCATCTGT